GCAAGATTGATTGCTCAAATTATTAGAGCACAGTTCCAGAATATAAATTATGATGATTTATCTTGATAATACTGGTTTAAATCCAAGTTGGTTTAGCAGAAATTGTATGCCTCCAATTATATCTAAACCATTGGTTATGAGAACAAAACTGCCAAAATAAAATTTGGTATGTGATGTATTATTTAATATACAACAGCACTTGTACGCATCTAGCCAAGTTATGATAAGTTCTCCCTATCACAATCGGTTCAGTTTCAGAAACCAAATAATTTCCATCTAGAAATATGAATGTGCTATATGATTTAATTGTTCCACCACAATGCACAAAGATGGATCCCCAAATAAGGCTAGGGATATTTGTTGGTGATCCCAACAATAGGGGGAGAAAATGGGCAGCTGAAAAAGTAATGCATGTAATGAATTATTATGAGTACATCTAGATCCTCGTACGAGAAAATGTGAACTTGAAGTTCAAGTGATAATTCATTTGCAAAATATTGCCAGGCGTATTTGCTGACCCAAAACTAAATATCATATTCAGCTGCTAATGCTCCAAATAAAATAAAGTTCATAATGAATAGAGTCTATGGCATGCATGAAGCATAATAGACTAATCGGTTTCAAAGATAAAACTCCTTGAAGAAGGAGAGGAGCAAATATTCAAGATGGTCATAATAAGGAGGCAAGTGCTCTAGAAGAGTACTACGACATAACACTTCATAAGACCTCATGGGAGAGGCTCAGGTACCTGAAGATAATAAGATAAAGAGATCTCAATAAGTTATGTCTTTATTGGGTAATAATAGAACTGATATAAAATGATCGTTGACGATATTGTTAATATAATGTAGCGCTCAATATTATTAATATTGACGAGGATCTTGAGCTCAAATCTGTCATAAAATTTGGACAGATAGATGATTGACCAAATGAAAAATACGCAATAAAAAGTAATTTCACCTGAAAAATATGAAGTTGGACCGATAGTCCCAACATCTGAAAGTATAAAGCCAGTGGAGGTATAAATGTGTTCTTGTGAGAAAAATAAAAGGTCAAGTCGATAAACATAAAGACGACTTATGTCACAAGAAAAATTATAAATATCCTGGCATTGATTATATAGAGACATGTTCTCCTGTGGTGGATGTCGCCATTTCAGGTTTTAATCTGGCAATACAAGAAAAACGTGATATGCGTATAATGAAAATCATTGAAGGATTTAAATTGTTCTGAAGCATATTAAGGTTTCCAAGAAATTTATTAAATAAAGCTTCAAAAATCCTTATACGGATTGAAACAATCAGGGCGCATGTGGTATAATCGCCTGAGTGAGTACCTGTTGAAAGAAGGGTACAAGAATGATTCAATTTGTCCTTGTGTCTTTATAAAAAGATCTGGATCTAAATTTGTTATAATCACCGTGTATGTTGATGATTTAAATATCATTGGAACTCCTAGGGAGCTTCCTAAAGCAGTAGAGCTTCCTAAAGTAGTAGACTATTTAAAGAAAGAATTTGAAATGAAAGATCTTGGAAAGACAAAATTTTGTCTTGGTCTACAAATTGAGTATATAAAAGATGGAACCATCAACCAGCATACACTAAAATAATTTTAAAGCGATTATATATGGATAAAGCACATCCATTCCGACCTCATGAAAATAATGTAAGAGCTTCTTGATCCCGAAGTAAGTGCAGTTGGTGCACTAATGTATCTTTCTAACATTACAAGGTCTGACATAACTTTTTCAGTTAATGTCTTAACAAGATACAGCTATGCTCCTACAAGGAGACATTGGAATGGAATCAAACACATATTGCGGTATTTAAAAGGGACTACCGATATGAGATTATTTTATGGCAATGATTGCAGTCCCGATCTTGTTGGTTATGCCGATGCTGGGTATTTATATGACCCACACAGGGCTCGATCTCAAACATGCTATGTGTTTACATATGGAGACACTACCATATCTTGGCGATCGACTAAGTAATCGTGGCTACTTCATTTAATCATGCTGAGATAATTGCTATTTATGAAGCAAGTCGAGAATGTGTATTGTTGAGGTTTATAATACATCTTTTCGAGACAAATCTGGTTTGAAGTGTGACAAACTACCCACAATTTTGTATGAAGACAATGCAGTATGCATAGCCCAATTGAAGGGAGGATTCATAAAGGAGATATGACAAAGCAAATTTCACCAAAGTTATTTTTCACACATGATCTTCAAAAGAATGGTGATATCAATGTGCAACAGATCCGTTCAAATGATAATATGGCTGATCTGTTCACCAAATCTCTACTGACGTCAACCTTCAAGAAACTAGTGTACAAGATTGGAATGTGAAGGCTCAAGGATGTGAATTGATGCTCTCATCAGGGGGAGTTAATACGTGTTGTACTCTTTTTCCCTTACAAGGTTTTGTCCCACTGGGTTTTTCTTGCAAGATTTTTAACGAGGCAACCAAAAGGCGTATTTCTAAACATGTGTACTATTTTTCCTTCACTAGGATTTTTTTCCCATAGGGTTTTTTCCTAATAAAGTTTTAACGAGGCACATTATCTATGGACATCCAAGGGGGAGTGTTATAAGAAAAATCAAATTATGGTGGATGTCTACTCTTCCTCCGTGATCTTCTCAAATGTTTAATGACATATTCAATGACATATTTCTATGCTTAATGACATATTCAATGATATATTTTTCTTCACTTTTCATGCCTATATAAAGACCTTGTAATAGATAAGAAAATACACACAATTGAAGAAGAAAATCTCTTCCTTTTCTCTATCTCTATTTCTTGTTCATGTTTTACTAAATTGCTTTTATTTCATAACAACATGTCTTGTTCATGTTTTACTAAATTGATTTTATTTTATAAGAGAGATTACTTTAACCACCTTTGTCCCACTAAAACCTAGATAATCCCCTTCGTCTTTAATAAAAATATATACTTCTGGATGAGGATTAACTTTGTTTTATAGTATTAGTTTAACAAAAGAACTCAAATCCACAAGCCCCTGAGCGGGGACAAATTTAACATAATAACAATTTCAATCGGTATCTGAGATGACATAAATCGATCGATGGATTTCCTCGGATGGGACAATTATGCAGAATAAAAATTGAGCAATTGGGACTTAAGATGATATAAAAAGATTCACTATAAGGATAAAGCCAAAGTCCAGATAAAAGAATAAAATATATAAGAATCTACAGCCACAAACAAAGCAAAACGAACAGTAATTTCAAATTTGATGGAATTGTCACTTGCGAAGATAAAAAGGAAAAGATGGAATTGTAACTTGCCAAGCTATAAAAAAGAATAGACAACTTGACAAATTGACATGTTTCTACAAGTTTCCTTTGGTTATCGTCAAGATGACATAAACATCCTAATCTTTTCATACCAAACTCCGCCTAAGAAACCTACTTTTTATGTTGCTTTGTCATACATCCCATGGATATATATAATGTAAATCATTTAGTACCAAACTATGCCTAAAAACCTGCTTATGTCGTACCTGTGTCCTCTAGTGCAAGTGTGAGTCAGAATTTATATGTAATTTTTCAGTAATCCCTAGCTAGTTTCGCCCCCGCTAGTGCTTCATATAAGAATTTAACTTATCCCTCTAAGTTTCAATTTACGTGAACCTATTTTTTTTAGTCCGTGCAAAAAAGAATGACCTCTTTTCTTATATGAAAATAATTTATCTTTATGCAATGATTTATAGCCACACAAAATATATGTGCTTCATTTTACACCACGAGTTCAAAAGTCTTCTCTCTTTTCTTAAACTCCGTATCCAGTCAAATAAGTTCACATAAATTGAAACGGAGAGAGTATATTCTTTAGGATAGTTAATTTTACAATCCTACATTTAATATATTTTACAAGGTTATTTGTTTTATTTTTAAGTTAATTACTCTTTCCGGTTCACTTTAATTGATATTTTAGTTCTTTTCACACGTATTAAGGAATTTATCTTTTTAACATTAATTAACAATAAAATTGACCATATTAATCTTAATTTATTCATTGAAAATACAACAAATACTTCTAAACTCTTTACCTCAGGGCAATTTTAAAAAAAAATTAATTTTTTCTTGATATTTGAAAAAAATCAAATAATATGGATCACAAAAAAAGACCCCAAAAAAATCAATTTAAGGGACCGCAAGGAGTACCAAATTAAACTTTTTATCGGTAGGAACCAAATTAAACTTAATTACTCTTTACAAAAAGTTACATGTTTGCTGTTAGTAAACATTATACAGGACACACAAGTTAAAACTCTGTAAGAAACCTTTCACTCTTCCAAAATAATGACAATAACAATGTCAATAATAGATCCCTGCCTACCTCTAATCTTCCTACATGTGAAGTACAAAGTACAATAAAATTATGAACCAATATCTAAAAAGAAAAAAAGTTGACTATCTTTCAAAAAAATAAAGATAAAAAATATATGAAAATATTTATAAAAAAAAGAGAGAATTAACTAGAAGAGGGTGGATAATGGCTGGAACTGCTCCAAAATGGTGCAGAAAAATTGGAGCTGTTGCTGCTACTACTACTGCTGGTGCCTTGATTTTGATTAGTTTGTGGCCTGTAATAACTAGATTGCTGACCTGAAAATAGCAGGGGATATGAAGGAGAGGAAGTAGAAGAAGCTGCAGAGTTACCTAAAGAAGAAGTTGTGTTTGAATGCAATACAGCCCTAGATGAAGCAAAAAACATTTGCTCCACCAAACTTGAAGGCTGTTGTTGATCAAAAAAATCAGCAGGATTTTGTAGTAACTGTGAATATTCCCAATAATCTCTTGTCATATCTGAACTTTGGATTGGCTGCTGATGATGATGAGGAGGTTGGAAAAATGGTGTTGGTTGAGATATTGGAGCCATAAATGAAAATTGAGAAGCTGAAGTTGAGGAACTAGAAATGGCTAATCTTGTAGTAGGTTGAGAAGCTTGAATTTGTGGTAATAATCTAACATTTTCTGGGAAGTTTAGTTTGGCTCTGTTGCCTCTGAATCTTAAAGCAGCTTCATCATATGCTCTTGCTGCTGCTTCTGCTGTATCAAATGTACCTAACCAAACTCTAGCTGCTTTATGTGGATCTCTTATTTCTGCTGCCCATTTTCCCCATGGCCTTTGTCTTACTCCTCTGTATCTCCTTCTCCTCTCTCCTCCTGTTTCTTCACTTGTACCACCAGCTGCTGTAGTTGCTATTTCTGCTGTTGTGGTTGTGGTTGTGAAAGCTGGAACTGTTGTAATGGTGGAAATGGTTGGTGCCACCATACTTGTAGCTTCTTCTGTCAAAATTTAATAAATCATACTTAATCAAAATTGAGGACAAAGAAAAAACAAAACTTAGTGCTAGATATTTGAAATGTTAAACTCGAGATTTAATTAAATATAGTTATGGTAATGCACTGTTCACATCTTTCAAATACATGCAATAATACCATCGAATAAAAATTAGCATAAAACTAAGAAAACCTCAAAAAAGAATTCGCTTAATCTTTTTTTTCTATTACACTGAGGGACAGCAAAAACGAGCAGAAATGGGACAGAAGTTTTATGAAGGAGTGTCAAAACTGAACTTGGGAAGAAGGAAGCAAATCGAACTAACTTCATGAAATAATTAATATAGTATAAACAGTGAGAAGAAGTAAATGAAGTTGAGAATGAATAGGAAATTATGCTCTTAAGCACAAAGATCGAAAACTACAAAACAGAGGACAGGACAACAAAAAATAAAAGCACAAAAGAACTAAAGAATGTTATGGAACTAACCAGCTTTAACAGAGGAAGATGGCAAGCCACCTCTAAATTCTCCAAACCCTCCATAAATCCCTTGATGACTTTGTTCCAATATCTGAGTAACACTTTCTTCTTGATCACGGCTTCTCTTTTGTCCAGCTCTAGACCCTGAGCTAGTAGATGAATAAGCTGAAGATGGCGAATTTGCTGAATAAATACCAGAACCACCACCACCAAACGATGTCGTAACGGAACCACTGATATCGGGTCGGTAATTCGAACCCGATACCACATGGGTCAGCGCTGTCACCATTGCCGACATCTCTCTTGTCTGACTGTACCCTGTAAACATCGGCATCGCCGAAGAAGTTGATAGCAAATAGTCAGCTTCCTGTTGTATTTGTTGTTGAATCATTTCTTCGAAACATTGGTCGCTTTGTCCATAAGGCTGAGCACCGCCTTCTGCGGCGGTGGTTGTAGTAGTTTCTGAATCGCCTGTATCTGTAAATCTGACATACTCGCTGGATTTTCTTGGGTTCGCCACCTTTAATAAGCACATGTACGACCCGCTTCAAACTAGACAAAATTACGACAAAATAACACCAACCCAGATGTTTTTTTGGTGAATTATAAATACCCTTTTCAGCTTCTCTTCAACACAATACCGTTTCTGCAGAATCTGAAGCCACCGACTTTGAACTCTGACAAAATTAATTTCGTCGAACACTTTCCGTAGCTCAAAAATAAGACCAACCCAAAACGTATCTTTCTGAATTGATGGGCTTCCTTATGGTATTTGACTTGATTTGGAGCACATGCACACAGTAGAAAACTGAATTTTTTTACAGATATAAAATTTTCGAGGAGATAACTGAGAAAAATTCCCTTACAAACGGCTATATAAGGAGGAAAATTCAAACTTGAACAGCCGTGAAGAGAATAGTTGAATCTTCGTGCTACTTTCTGCTAATAGAAGTGCACGAAGTTTGGTGCCAATCTCTATATTGTACAAAGAATAGTTAAATATACTCAGCTTTGTATTTTTATTAAATTTCTTTAAATAGTAAATAAAAAAGAAAGATTTGATGCCTGCCAAAAAAACAACAATACAGCGACCGACTCAGAGAGGTATGTTCCCACCGTTGGTTGTACTTTGACTGAAAATGATGAAGTTACATGCATCTGCTTTCGACCTTTCGAACTCATGTCGGTTTATACAAGGAGAGAGAAAGAGGAAGACAGTGTTTAAAGAGTTCATCTTCAACTTGAATTCTCCTTTTATCTTTTTCTTTTTTCCTTTTTTTTAACTCTCCTCTCTTTTCATCTTCAACTTGGTTCAATTTGTTTTTTTCAACCCCAACTTGGTACAATTCTTTTTTCCAAACCGTTGGTTCCTTTTTATTTTTTCCAACCACAACTTAGGTTCATTAAATTTGTTACGAATAAACTTCTTACAAACTAGCGGTGTAACTTTGATTCTATCATATTTTTAAATTTATGTAATCATATTTTTTTTATTTTTAATAATAAATTTTATAATCACACAAATATTATAATTATTTAAAATCACAATTGTTAAATGATTTATGGCTACAAAAATATAATGATATATTTGAGACCAATGCTCCTGCCGGTCACAAATATTAATCCTTTTGACAAATAATCTAATTAAATAAGGAGTAAGCAAAAATTTAAACAAACGAATAATATGGACCAAAGGTAATACCATCACTAATGACTAGATTTTGAGATTTTTGCATTTTGCTTTGATGGCTTTTGACTTGGTAATCGGAATAGTGGGCTTTGACTTTCACTTGTGTTTAACAACTATTTTCAGAAAATTACTCGGGGTGGACTTTTTTGGGATCATCGCTTAAATTTTTAAGTTCATAAAATAAATTTAAAAAATGCTTTCGGCCAGAATTTTGACAAGCGCTCCTGGTTATTGTCATATTTTGTTACAAATTCTAATGATCAGAAATTTTTTGGTGATCGCCATATTTTGTGGCTAATCCTGATGATCACCATAAGAAAAATTCTGGCAATTGTCATGTTTGGTGACAAATTCTAGTGATTACTATATGAAAAATTCTGACAATTGTCAAGAGCGCTTCCCAAAATATTGATCAAATGCTATTTTCCAAAAAAGTTTCTTACTGGGGTTAAAATTTAAATGGCGGCAACGAATAATCCTATTTATGCAAATCCTGGAGTACTATTTAGGATTTTTTTTCCATGATTAAATAGGTGCCCTATCTGTCGATATTTATTTACTAAAACATTCCTTAAAAGATTAATATCAGACCTATGTGCTTTGTATAATTTAGCTGTATACAATTTACATTTTGTCTACCTGGTATACAGTAGTTATATATTTAAATATGATATAAATTAATTGAATCACTTTATTGTATACCAGTAAGAGATACAAAATGTGAATTATATGACCCAAAAGTATACAACTCACCTATCTGTTAGGTATTTTATAAATAGTTTTTCAAAATAGATAGAGTTTAATATTTTTTAGAGGGACATTCTTGCCTTTTTTGGCCGCATGCGCAAAAAAAAAAAAAAAAAAAAAAAAAAAAATCTAAGTATAATCTACTAGTGAGGTTTGGGGAGGGTAGAGTGTACACAGACCTTACCCCCTACTCTGGGGTAGAGAGACTGTTTCTGATAGACCCTCAGATCTCTCACAACCTTTTGGTTGGAAGTGGAGAGTGCTCACCACTAGACTAACCCACTCTTTTTTGGCCGCATGTGCACACTGCATAGATATCTCTATTATTTATAGGAAAAAATTATTTTTCCGGTAAAACCATATATTTAGTGCGTATACGGTTTTTGTGCATAAAACATCTAGTGCCTTTAAGGATATAATTGAATGGTAGTATGATAGTATCACGATTCTGAATTTAAATATTTATTATTATTTCATGTTTCGATTAAATATGTAAAGTACTCATAAAGGTGTGAAAACAATTTTTATCATGTTTATAGAATAATCGAAATTAACTATTAACCATTCAGATCAAATGATTATTGTAATCTAAGTTGCTCGGACTCGGGTGCGGGTGTCCGATACGGGTGCAGATCTAGAGGTCAGATCCTTCATGATCTAAATTTAAAGATTCGGGGGTACGGATCCAAGTACGGATACGGGTGCGGGGATTCGGCTAAAAATAATTCATTTATTTAAAAATAAAGTTATAAAAATATGTATAAATTATGAGACATGTGAAAAACTTATAAGGTATTCCGAGAAGGAGAAAATATTGAACAAGAGTAGCATTTTAGAAGGAGATAAAAGGAAAAGGACTGATATAGAAATTTATATATACAAGGTATTCTATTTTCTTCCATATCACCCTATCTTTTGATTTGTTTTTAAAAATCATAGTATCTGTCCCAAATTTCTCCGTTGATTTTGGTCAAAGTACCCAAAATCGGTTTACCAGATCCAACACGGATCCCACACCCATACCCACACCCACGTCGTGTTGACACGGGTGCGACCCTGAAAGTGAAGAGTTCGAGTAACTTAGATTGTAATCACAATCAAAGAGAAGATATTTAAAGGTTTGACTCTTTCATTTTGAGTGTACAGAATATACGTAGAAATACTAGAAGTAGTCATTATAATCAAGCTATCTCTCATAATTTTCAACGTTCATGTTTATCAAGAAACAAAATCGTAATTGTACATTTAAATTGGATAAATTAATGATGCAGACATTGTTGGGAAGAATATGTCTTCCTGTTTATCCATTCTTGGGATATTTCCACTAAAGCGACTTGAATCTCAGTATTTTCATTCATGGAAGCAGCATTTAGCTATTAGTTTACAAACTAAAAGAACTTTTTTTATATTGTAATGTAATTTTATTTACAAAAATAAATCAAACTATAAAAGATTGTAGTACCTTTTATACAAGAAACTGTAGATGATTTGTTTAAAACCGGGTAAAGACTTCAAACTTGGCCATTTTTTGTTGGGATGTTAGACAAGTAACAAATGCCGTAATTCTTTCTTTAAAAAAAATATTTTTTTTCATAAAACACTACATTTAGAACCCAATTATCATTCTTACTGTTGTTCAATAGTTACTAGCTTATATCACTTGCATATACAATCAAGGAGAAATACAAAAATACAGAAAAATAGAATGCTCTCGTTGAGAGACAAACTCAAGATCTCTACTTACTGTGCGGGTGGTCTAACAACTGAGTATAAGAGCTTGTTGCTCTCTTGTTTCAGTTCAAAACAATTGATTTTCTTGTTGCAATACTACATATGAATTTGTTATAAAAATTAAATATATTTGTAATGATAATTTTCTGAAAGTATAGCTACAATAGCGTAATCAAATACATTGTATATAGCTACTCCTAGTTAATTCGTCATTTTCTTAGGAGAGAAGAAGTGCTATTCAAATGCAGGCATTCTTACATAATCACGACATCAATTGATTGACAAACGTTTAGGGTTGCGTCGCTACATTATTTAAAACCTCTCGCCATTATTTACAGAAAAAAAAATGTCAAACTTGAAGATTGAATAATCTTTTTGCGTTTTCCTTATATTGAGCGCTATCCATGTTATAATTAAGATGACTTGTAATTTATCTAATCTTTGAACTTGGGAATTTGTAATGTAGTGTTCCGTACGGTCAAAGCACGACTCTTGCCAACATTGATCTCTAAAATAAACAATTTGCAAAAACTAACAAAGTAGTTGAACAAAGTAGTGATTCACATGACGATCTGGCTTCGTGTCCTCTCCCTCTCAACTCTATAAATATTATTAGTAGCATTTGTTTTTTCTTCTTCTGTAGCTCTCTTTTTGGATACGTGTTTGTTTGTTTGTTTAATACAACACTAAAAAGGGAAATGATTACAAGATTCTCTATGAATTCGTATCCCTTTTGTAAAATGTAATCTCCTCATTCTTTTGTGTATACTTCTATAAATGGGCCCTTAAAACTTTCAGGTCATATATAAACTTAACACGCCTTTAAAAATGAGGAGACATGTAGCGGAAACACTTTAACTCTTTAATAAAGGGTGTCATTTGGTTGTTTTGGAAAAATTATTTTATATCTAAGAAATAAATAAATATATGTATTATATATACTATATTAAAAGCACGAAACCTTTAGCAAAATGTCGGTTGACTTTTTTACCCTTTTAAAATATCGTTCACACTAGACAAAATAGTCATTTGATTATTCTCCTAGCTAATGTTTAGAAGTTTTAAATTAAATCAGATATATAACTTATTAAATCTTTCCTTATTTGAATTAAGTAAGAAGTCCTTGTAATTAGGACTTTAAGATACTTAAAATTTTACCTTATATAAATTTTACAATTAAAGTATGATTAAATAACATCAAATCTTTATGCCTATAATTTTTTTACAATTGAACGTTGTTTTTGAGCAAAAGAGATTGTACAATCGTGCTAAATTTTAAGTGAACCATTATGATGTAAATCAAATAAAATAAAGAAAATATTAAAGAAAGAGGAAGCATTTTGCTTTTTTCTTTATCCCAAATCAATAATTAACCTATAAATGCTATGAGTAGTCTACGTGTGATTGGTCCACTATTAATTTTATTCTNGACTATTAATTTTATTCTCTGATCAATAATTTGCTTAAATATAAATATTATTATATATTTTAAAACATAATTAGAAACAAATAATTATAAAAATATTTAATAATAGAAAGAGAAAGAGAGAAAGAAAAGTGATTGACAAAAGTAATTTACTAACACTACGACAAACATAAAATCTAAAAGTTCGATTTTTCATTATTTGACAAAAGAATTTTTGTGGATACAGATATAGTTTTTAAATATTTTATATATGGTGTGAACTAATATAAATAACTTGAATCCTAAAAAAATAAATTATTTCTTTTAGTGATTAAAAAAGATAATTAAGTATTTGAATTAAAAAAACTAAATATAAAACAAAATCAATTATAGTATTAAGAATTAAATTGGTTAAAATGCAAACTTGAAGAAATAAGGATGAAATTGTCACGACCCAAAATCCAACTAGTCATGATGACACCTAACTCAACCCGCTAGGTAAGCTAATTAACAACTATCCAATTCCAATGATATTAATAAGACAATTAAACAAAAGGAATTATCTGAATCTTATACATTTCCCAAGGACTGGTAGTACAAATCATGAGCTTCTAAGAATAGAGTTTACAAATCTGAAATGAAGTAAATACATCTTCTGTTTGA